GGGGGGGGGGGGGGGGGGGGGGGGCTATGGATATTTTTTGGGACCACACATTAATCAAAAATCGTATTATGCTAAAAATAAGGAGAACACAAGATAATAATTACTATCATTTTAGATTCACGTCTAACACAACACGGTAATTTAAGAGATGATTCTTGCTCCACCACAAAAGAAAACAAGAGAAGCACAGCAGAAGGAAAAATTCTTTTTACTAAAAATCCCGACGTGAGTAACACTGAATGTGACTTTTTCAACGGCTACATTTCCCATTCAAGACGGCCCCTTTGCTTTTGGGTGTGAATGCTAGGTGAACCAGTGGAACGGAAAACTATCGCTTGAAAACTTGGTCTTTCTAATTATATGCCAAAAAAGTAAAACGCCTACAGGCTTGCTTTACTCTAAGCGTGATAGTCGCAACTGAGGCCATTGGTCTCAAATGCGGCTTACAAAAGTGATTTTACAAAGCCAGCGAAAAATACAAACAGAAAATGATATGGATGGGATAACAATTATTGAAGCCAACCCTGAGCTCGATGCAGGAAGCCACATGTGAGGTCTGCAGAATTGCTATGGGTTTTCCTGAACTGCACCGTTAATACATTGAACTTTCCAAAACGCAAAACGAAACCATCAAAAGGAAATGACCGAAACGAGGCCAAAACGAAATCACCAAAACCATCGAAATGGCCGAAACGAACAAAAAAGAAACTACCGACACGAACTCGGGCGAAACGACTGGAAGGACTAAAACGAATCCAGAAAAGTAAGGAAAAAGACCCACCAAAATGATCGAAACAAGCAAAAGGTGGAATGTCTCTTCAACTATTGTTTCGTATTTAGTGCTTTTTTTTTTACAAAGACACCGCTCGTAGCTTGTCACTTAACACTTAAGTTATCATAACCGAATCGAAACTCGTCCTTACGGAATCAATAATTCATCTACTTTCTTCTTTTTTTACGTTACCATGTCTCATTCCAATAATTAGCTCACACACGCTCTGACGAAGGGCTAGCGCTCAAAACATTAGCTTCTTAATCCCCCTATGGTGGCCAATCTATTTATCAACTCTGTTGATCATAAACGACCAAATCGCTGTATTCCACTCCCCCACCGATGCAACACTACATTTTTGTTAGAAACCAATCTCGCTCCCGGGGTCCTCTCCTACTCCTCGTCTCTCTGTGCCGCGCCCCTGACCCAACCAAACTCAGTTACGCCTTAGGGGACAATAAAGATGATAGAGATGGTCATAGACATAGTTTACCCTTTTCTTACGCTATATGAGTTTGAGGGCTCATCCTACGTCTAGGGGAGGAAATGATCAAGGTGGGGATTGATCTGAAAGACTCACTTGTTTGATAGACCGTGCAAAGAGGCATGCATATGTCCCTGTTAAAAAAAATACTAAGATAAACAGCCAACACAACCAAAACCTAAAGAGCAAGGAAAACCTGACACTACCAAACTCCGCTGTGTGTTTGGCCAATACTTTGCGCATGGTAACAGCTGCATGGGATTTTTAATGGAGATGAGATCACTTACAGACCGTTTTGCCAGAACTAAACTGTAGTGATGCTGACGAACTAAACAGTATAAAATTCGTAAAACAGCCTTAAGAAACTTGTTCGTAAGTGCACTTTTGTAACGACAACTTCCTCTACACTCTAGCTTTCTTATTTATTGATTGTTTAGTTATTTTGCTTTGTCCCCTCGGCCGTTTTCCTCGTACCGGTAAATTCATTTTGGTCGTTTCGGGCGTTACGCTTGTTTTGGTAATTTAATTTTGGTCGTTACGGTCGTTTCGTTTCCAGTCGGTGGTTTCGTTTTGTTGCTTCGGGTTTTAGCATGGTGCCTTTTCAAACACAGCAGTTAGAAACTTTACCTTAGACAAGCAATTCTGGAAAAACAAAACTAGACCTATATAAACTGCGTGAGCTTGGGCGTCCGCTTAAAAGTATTTAAATGACAAAACTTCATCTACGAAATCACAGTCTTCAAAGGCCGCCAACGTATATCGAAATATAAACAGCAGTCTGTATGAAAGGATGATAGATCAAGTATCCCATGATGCTCTGTGCTTAAAAGCTTGCAATTATATGCATAAGCACCTGGAAACGATGCTTGCGTGACTATAACGTATTAGATTGCAGTAACTGTATAGTAAAGGTCATAAAAACAAAAGAAGATAAAATCAGTGACATCAAAAGCAAGGATATAGTTACACAAAAGGTACTTGAAGTACTCAATTCATTTTCTGTTTTTTCTTATGCAAGGCAACTAAGCTTAAGTGCCTAGAGGCATCCCTAGTATCTTCAACAAGACTCTCGAGTTGATCAGAAACACTGTTCAAATTCCATGGGTGGGTCACTACTTCAAGACGGCTTCTTGATAAGGTTCACCCAGAAGACTCAGTTTGCTCGCCATCTCTTACCAAACAGAGTGTGCATTTGGTATAAAGTTTTTGCATATAACAAATGACAGAATTTATTCTTGTGGTCACTGAGTTTTATACACCGAATACAGATGCCTTTGCTGACCGTGTCTCATGCAACCATGTGCTCTGGTTTAGAATGCTGACCTATTTTACACATACTCTTATATGTTGGGCATGTGTTGAAGGCGCCAGAGGGCGATTTGTGTGGAGAAACAAAGAACATAAGTAGGTGGCATATGGTTCCCCAGGTGGGTGTCAATTCCTGAATAGGATTGTTGCTGACAGTCACTGACAACGTTTCAACAACACGAGCAGTAGTCATCTTCGAGCTGAATGTCGTCAGTTGATGGAATTAAAATCTGATTAATGACCTGATTCAGGGTCAATTATTTTACATACTTATTGGTTGTCTGCAAGTTAAGCCAAGATCTTATTGGCTGTGAAGACTCTAAATGTGAGTGGTGCAATTCTACATTAAGCAACATCTTCTGAATAATCCTCAAACGCTCAGTGTAAAACGCAGACTGTTGACTATTGTTTTTATCATGCAAATGAGAACGTGACAACAATAGTCACATTGTTTTCTAACCCTAAAAATAATAGTCTGTAGTCAGTCAGCAATCTACATTTTACACTGTCCAATCTCAAATACAAAAATAACAGCTGTAAATACTTTATCTAACCACTTGTTTGATGCAGGCTTTGAGTGCCTGGAACTCCTTCTCACAAGCATGTTTTGTAATGTTTTCCTTAAGTGACACACAGCTTCCATACTGAAGAGCCTAACACAAAAAAGGAAAACAAACCTAAGAAATTTACAAATATTAAAAATTGACAAACAAACAAATTTTGCATTTTGGCAGTTCTGGGACCAAGAAACTGCTTGTAGTACAAAGATGTGCCCACTGCTATATTATGTTGGTAGGAATTTGCATAAAGTTTGATAAAGCATCTGTAATGGCCACATTACAGGCACCTATATTATTGACATTTATGGTATGAGATGTATGAAGTTTGGCATGAACTGTCTGGATGAGGAGATGTCCAAATTATAGAGGTGAAGTGCCAGTATACAGAGGGGAAGTGCCATCCTTAACAAATCCTTAACTGCTTTCCAGGGGAACAGGACACATCACCTACAAAACAATTGAGGAGCACTATTGTATGCTGGACAACTTTCCCTTGGCTACGTCAATTGGTACAGCACTTATAGATACAATAAATTAACAGACGGCTGCTGATTTTCACTTAACTCTAAAGGAATAGAACTTCGTTGGGAGTCAATTTTAGCCACAACTTCCATCAAGAAATATTAATGACTTTTTGTGAATCAAATAAGCACCTGTTAAGTATATCTCAGATCTGTTATTTGAAAGTGACAATTGGACACCTGTATTATTTTTGGAGACTGTTAGCTCACTCAATGCCAGGAGAACTGGCTATCTATCTCAATGTAAGAAGTGATTTGTGTTACTATACACTGCAATATAACTTATGTAGCACAACGAAAAGCTCAGAATTCAAATTGTCTGGTTATTCGTGTGGCAGCAAAAATAGGAATGCAAGATAAGTGCAACTAAGTTGCATATATTTTGCATAAATTGACAGGAAACAGAGAGATCAGTAATATATGTGTGGTAACACTACGACCTTCTCTGCAAAGGAAATAGCTTGGTTTGGGCTTACCTTAGTTTTAGAAAAGTTTATATAAGTGGTGACACATTAATAAAATAATGAATTGCTTGTGGGAAGGAAAAACATGGACCCGATTTTGCCGTAAGCTGCCTTGTAAACAGGCCAGGGAAGAGTGACATAAATCACAAAATATTTTCAACCATTTATAACAAAACTCCTACATCATTATGCAATAAGCAATAGTGATTGTTCACTTAATTTTGTGTGATGGAGATATCAACCTTTTCACGTGTAATATCCATTGCTTGCAAAATTCTCCCTTTTTTTCTTCTTAAGTTTCACTTGCCAGTCGAACTATGCCTCTGCAAAACTGCTGCTGGTCCTACCAATTCTTGGCCACTTATGGAGAGACACTTCCAAGTGTCTCGGGCTGTTTTTGAATATATTTTAATTTTATGTGAAAGCTTTGCAGCAGTGCTAGAAATCCTAAGTTGTGTTGTCACATTTTCAGTCCAGTTAATGCAGATAGGATCAGGCATAGCACAGCACGAACACTGTACATGTTGTAGTTAATAATTATTTTTATTTTTGCTTTCCTTTTGTTTTTGGGTATGGTAAAGTATGCTAATTAATTTGAAACAAAGGAAAATAAAAAGTACCTGAGATAAAAAATTAACTACAGCATACACAACACAGGATTTCTAGTGTTTGGTACATTTCACTATCTTGCGATTGGCCGAGCTGCACTGGGTTCACCTTCAGAACTGTCATGGGGAATTCTTTTTCTTAATTCTTAACAACTAAATTTCGATTAATTATCTGTAAAGAGAGTTTTCTCAAACACTCAAATGCACCACAAAATTGGTTTGATCAGTAAAATAAAACAGTTAATAAATATATGCTTTTGTGCAATAGAGTTACAGTCGAACCTCCATGTGCAACCACCTCCTATAAGCAACTGCCTATCCAAAACTGAATTTGAAAACAAAAAAAGGGATTTTAGTATATACCTACTAAACCCTCTTCACCGACAAAAAATAAAGGCAAACTATTTTTGGTCGTGAAATCAAGTGGACCGCTTTCAGGGAGACTGCCACTTAAATCCTAAAAATATCAAATTAGATTAAAATAATTTAAAAGTTGAGCAATTGCAATTGCTAATAAAAGGGGGAGAAGCATAAAAAGGTCCCGTGACCATCTCATGTAAGACAAAGTATCGGTCACTTCACTCGCAGAGCCTGTGTCGGAAATCGTTTGCTGGGGTATGGGGCGTTGCTGCTTATACCAAATCCTTTTTGTCAAATTGATAGGCTACAGAGAAGGGCATTTAGATCTGCGTAAATTTGTCAAGTAACACTGATCCAACAAGGCTACGGCTAAGGCTATGGAATAGTGTGATGGGCATAAATTCCTTGCATGTCTTCCTCCTTTTTTAAATTAAGTTTTTCTCCCCCTTGATTTGTTTACAGCCCAGGTTAAACTCACTAGTAAGCTTACCTGCGTTTGGCATTCAACAATAAGCCTCCCTAAGTCGGCAGTTCTTCTGTTCACCTTTTCTTTGAAACTCATTCCGTAAAAACTTAACAAGAGATAAGTACTTGGTGTAAGCACTCACTAATGGTAAGTAGGTCGCTTATGGTCAGCCGTCATTACCCTAAACGCCGCGAACAGCACGCTGGGATTTTTCGCAAGTGGCTACAAAGCTGAACAAGACGCTATGAGGCGTACACTTCGGCGTCGTGGTTCAAAGCATGGTTAGCTTTAACCATTGGTTAAGCAGTATCTAAACCAATACGTTGTCAAGGTATTAAACGCTGGTTAACGCTTACCATGCTTCGAGCAACTGGGCCCTGGTTGCTGTTGCCGTCGTCGTTGCTAGAGCTCCCTATTTATCCTTCGGATAGCGCTATCCACCGTTTGAACAACTGGGGCCTGATTAATTGTAAATGCGGAGGAATAGTGAGAAATGAAATATGGTAAGAGTAAGGTGTTAATTTGTGAAATTATGGGATTTGTCAGGATATTTTGAAAAGAGCAACATCCATCCCCATTTCGGAGCATATTAGTCCAGTTATGCTCTGATGACTCGATACAAATCCTTGTAAATTTGACTTGGGTCTAAACGTTTAGACCTAAGTCAAATATGAGGTTATTGGCGGTGAATAACCAGGGGCACCCAACGACAATTTTCGGAAAATATCTGTTCGGAAGACGATTTGAGATCTAGAATTTTTGGAACATTTTTTTCAAAATTTCTTGCTTGTCTGCCTCTCGTAGGATTTTCGAACATCTAAAAAATGGTATAATTGCCCATTTTTAACGGATTTTTACCTCAAAAAAGGTCACCTACAATTTTCGGGAGCCTTTTTTCTGGCTGAAATTTTCGAAAAGGTAAGTTTTGATTCCCATAATTTTCGAATCACTAGACTTTCAGCTAGGAAATCCGAACAGATGAAAAATTTTTAGGGGATAAAAATATGCCTATACCTACCGTTTTAATACTAAAATATGTTTAACAATGCTATGTTACCCCTGAATAACAAGTCTAACAAAACAAACAGTGAATAAAGAATTCTCTATTTTTCTTACATCAGGCTTCAAAAACAGCATAGCAGTCGCATGTACTGATTAAAGATATGTAAGGCATGGGTAATGTTGAATGTTTTGAGGATAATTAGACACTGACGATCAGCATTCAGGGATGTCGGATTAACACAAGGAAGTTTAATACCAAAGGAACAAAGCCTTTACAGAGCTTTAAAACACAGCATCCGCCAACACAAACTTGACTTGAACTTAAGTAAAACTAAACAGAACCTGCCAATAAACTCTCACTTGAACTTCAGATATCTTACGGCTTCCGCCAACTTGTAAACACAGAACTTGAAAATCGACCTTCGTCACACTTGACTAAACACAGCACTCCAGACTCGTGGGAAAAAACGTAGTTCGTCAAAAGAACTCGCCTGGAACATGTATACCGTTTGACATAAGGTTCTAGAAAATACTAAACAGGCGAATAGTCGGTGGCTTTTGAACATATTTTATGATTTTAGTAACTGATGCAAATCTGCTGACTCATGCTGAAATGTAAACATGCCCCAATTAATTATTTACGAATAATCCAAAAACATAGAGAACGTTCGAGAAAGTCGCGCAACGCATGAAAGCAATTTTACTAAGTAACACTCAACAAAGACAAAACATCTTTGGGCAGCATTTTGTAACTTTAAATTCATAAAACAGTTCGAAAGGAGCGCTCACTCGTGAAATGTTTTTCAACACTCAAAGAGAATTTACGTGCTTCTGCATGGCCATGTAATATCCTCTATTTATTGCTCAAGTAAATTAAAGACTAAACTCGAAATGATCTCAACATATCACGAAGTAGTCCGGTCTCATTTCGTGAAATAGCCGAAACAAGCCGAAAAGTCACGAACTTGCGCGCCCAATCTTGTCCCGAAACAAGTGCATAATTTCATAGTTATTTTTCCTACCTCCAACTACCTTGGGTCGCAGTAGCGCAATCCGCAAATCCCTCGACTTAGAGTCGCCTCTGATCTGACGGATCACACGGGTGAGTCGGTTCAAATCCCGGGAAAGCCAAACTTCCTCGAATAAGTTAAAGAGTAAATCAAAGAAATCGTGGACTACGAGCAGTCTCTCTTTTTTCTTGGTCCGTCGAGCAAAAACGCCCGATGCGCGCAAATGACCATCCGCTGGTTTCACATTTAGAGGTCATGAAGCTGGTCTATTTCTCTTATATTAATGATTCACTTCCTGTGCTTTATGTTTTGAATGAGATCACCCGAGGCCTAGTTCTTGTTTCCCTGCTAGCAGAGGTCTCAGCATGAGGGACCTCAGCTAGTAGGGACAGTTCTTGTTTGCAGGATGTTGAATTTTTACGGGATAGTGCAAGTCACTCAAGATCATTCTTTGGGCGCCGATTTGTTTTTTGTTTCTTCTTTCTTTCTTGAGATTCAAAGTAACGAATCTTTGTTCTATAGCGCGATGTTCAGTAGTGCATCCGTTAGTAATTACTTTTGTTTTAACTTTATAAAATAAACAGTCTAAGAGTCTTCCAGTCTATGCTACTTCCTGTTTTAAGTTCTAAAGTAAGACTACCATTTTGGAACTAAAGCGTTCCTTGACAGTGAAGAGAGGCTGTGAGCATTTAAATTGCGCGATCACGTCACGTCCCCGGAGAGATGAGACCTTCTTATGCTGCAGTGCTTCAGCCATCATCAACTTGTCAATGGTTTCGATGGTTGACAGTTTGTTGTCAACGATTCACGCATCAGCCAATCGTATTTTGCGTTGTGAGGCCAACGCGTATTTCATTGGGTCTGGCTATGCAGGCAGTCTCTCTTTTTTCTTCTCAGGTTGCCGCCCTTGTTTCTCGCGTCTCGCGGCATCGCCGCTCAACGCTCGCACGCGCGTGCACTCCCCTTACTAAATCTGAAGAAAAAAGGGAGGCTGCTTGCAGTCTAAAGAATCGAAGTGATCTCGAGATATCTCGAACTAATTTGGCCCTGGCTTCGTCAAATAGCCGAATAAGAGCGAAAACCTACCTACTTTGCGTGCCCAATCTTGTCCCAAAAAGGTCAACTTTGATACATTTCTGAGCGTCGCGAATCCTTAACTTCGCGCTCCACCGAAGTGAAAAGATGTAAAAAGGGGAAAGTATTTCATGTCAGGCCAACATATGGTCTCCGTACATATGACAAGGGGTACTTTACCTACTTGAGCGGCTTTGCTTACTTGAGGTTTGCCAAACTTTGTAGAGTTTTTCGATCAAAGCATGGTTAGCTTTAACCATTGGTTAAGCAGTATCTAAACCAATACGTTGTCAAGGTATTAAACGCTGGTTAACGCTTACCATGCTTCGAGCAACTGGGCCCTGGTTGCTGTTGCCGTCGTCGTTGCTAGAGCTCCCTATTTATCCTTCGGATAGCGCTATCCACCGTTTGAACAACTGGGGCCTGATTAATTGTAAATGCGGAGGAATAGTGAGAAATGAAATATGGTAAGAGTAAGGTGTTAATTTGTGAAATTATGGGATTTGTCAGGATATTTTGAAAAGAGCAACATCCATCCCCATTTCGGAGCATATTAGTCCAGTTATGCTCTGATGACTCGATACAAATCCTTGTAAATTTGACTTGGGTCTAAACGTTTAGACCTAAGTCAAATATGAGGTTATTGGCGGTGAATAACCAGGGGCACCCAACGACAATTTTCGGAAAATATCTGTTCGGAAGACGATTTGAGATCTAGAATTTTTGGAACATTTTTTTCAAAATTTCTTGCTTGTCTGCCTCTCGTAGGATTTTCGAACATCTAAAAAATGGTATAATTGCCCATTTTTAACGGATTTTTACCTCAAAAAAGGTCACCTACAATTTTCGGGAGCCTTTTTTCTGGCTGAAATTTTCGAAAAGGTAAGTTTTGATTCCCATAATTTTCGAATCACTAGACTTTCAGCTAGGAAATCCGAACAGATGAAAAATTTTTAGGGGATAAAAATATGCCTATACCTACCGTTTTAATACTAAAATATGTTTAACAATGCTATGTTACCCCTGAATAACAAGTCTAACAAAACAAAAAGTGAATAAAGAATTCTCTATTTTTCTTACATCAGGCTTCAAAAACAACATAGCAGTCGCATGTACTGATTAAAGATATGTAAGGCATGGGTAATGTAGAATGTTTTGAGGATAATTATACACTGACGATCAGCATTCAGGGATGTCGGATTAACACAAGGAAGTTTAATACCAAAGGAACAAAGCCTTTACAGAGCTTTAAAACACAGCATCCGCCAACACAAACTTGACTTGAACTTAAGTAAAACTAAACAGAACCTGCCAATAAACTCTCACTTGAACTTCAGATATCTTACGGCTTCCGCCAACTTGTAAACACAGCACTCCAGACTCGTGGGAAAAAACTTAGTTCGTCAAAAGAACTCGCTTGGAACATGTATACCGTTTGACATAAGGTTCTAGAAAATACTAAACAGGCGAATAGTCGGTGGCTTTTGAACATATTTTATGATTTTAGTAACTGATGCAAATCTGCTGACTCATGCTGAAATGTAAACATGCCCCAATTAATTATTCACGAATAATCCAAAAACATAGAGAACGTTCGAGAAAGTCGCGCAACGCATGAAAGCAATTTTACTAAGTAACACTCAACAAAGACAAAACATCTTTGGGCAGCATTTTGTAACTTTAAATTCATAAAACAGTTCGAAAGGAGCGCTCACTCGTGAAATGTTTTTCAACACTCAAAGAGAATTTACGTGCTTCTGCATGGCCATGTAATATCCTCTATTTATTGCTCAAGTAAATTAAAGACTAAACTCGAAATGATCTCAACATATCACGAAGTAGTCCGGTCTCATTTCGTGAAATAGCCGAAACAAGCCGAAAAGTCACGAACTTGCGCGCCCAATCTTGTCCCGAAACAAGTGCATAATTTCATAGTTATTTTTCCTACCTCCAACTACCTTGGGTCGCAGTAGCGCAATCCGCAAATCCCTCGACTTAGAGTCGCCTCTG